TTTAAATGATTGAAATTTTTTATCAATTAGACTTATAGTAGTCTAGTCTCTCGTTAATTTATAGTAGCGTTAAATTCAATCGTGTACGTGATATACATAGAAAATCTTATTTTGGATAATCTTAATCATTGATGCAAGTAACTAATAAGATAAGAGGGCAGTTGACCCCCTTATTTTTTTAGAAAAAAAATACCGCTTATCTACCCCACATCAAAATAATAATAATAATAATTAATTAAACCCAATTCATGTGTTAATGTCACATGGGTATTAGGTAGAGTTCTAATAGAAAAAGAAGAAGAAGAAGAACTAATGCACTAATAACCAATTAACCATCCAAATGCCCAAACCTTAAAATTTTTAAAAACTAATTACCTAAATCTATTTTACTCCGTGTTTGGCTCTCGCCTTTCTTTCTCTCTTGTAAATGATTCTCGTGCCGTTTATCTTCTCCAATTCTTGTAATACTTTTTTATTTAATCTAATCGTTTAATTTGTTTTGTTATTTGTATTGTTGTTCTCTCTTTTTTCCTTCTCTATAGATCATCTTTTTTTTTTATTAAAATAAATTGATTCGAATCCTTAACAAATTGCTACAAGTACTTAACTTCGTTTATACTTGGCACCTGCTTAATTATTAAGCATTGTTTTTGTCTTTTTGTCTTGAGTAAAGAAAAAATATCAAATATTGTTTTTTGTCTTTTTCCTCCGTGTCACCGTGAGTGCCTAGCCTTTATGTTTCTTCTTTATTATTATTATTTTTTTTTATGAAATGTTTCTCTTCATTATTCTTATTATTATGATTGGGTAATTGTTACATCTATGATTTATCAAAAGCATATGTTAAGATTAATTTATAGATTGTATATTATAAAATTAGTTACAATGTAAATTGTGCTAAAAGAATTTTATTTAATGATTGAGTTAATTGAATAAAATTATAAAACCCATACTTTTTTGTAAGGGGATTATATAACTTATATTATTACTATTGGGTGGAATTAATAAATATAATATATATTTGATAACCATTATTGATTCTCTCTCTTTTTCTTTCTTTTTTAGTTATGGAAAGGTACTTTAAGAGAAAAGCTAAAATTAAAAAACTCATACTTTTTTGTAAGGGGATTATATAACTTATATTATTATTATTGGGTGGAATTAATAAATATAAAATATATTTGATAACCATTATTGATTCTCTCTCTTTTTTCTTTCTTTTTTAGTTATGGAAAGGTACTTTAAGAGAAAAACTATGTCCGAATTGTTGCTACCTATTACAAACTAAGAAAGTCATGATGAAGAGTGCCACAATTCGAAAAAAGTTCTTATGAAGTTGATTTTGCAAATCTTCCATCAAATCTTGCACTCGCGAAACCCAAAATGGATTATCATCCTAACGAAGGGATGAAGTTCGAAGAGCATATCTACAAAAAGAACCTTGTCAACCTCGTGAACATGATTTTAAACAAACTCTATAAGAAAATTGTATAAGAAAATGTGTTAAGAAGATTTAATCCATCTTGGTTTGATGAACATCGCACATGGTGAAAACATAGTAAAGTGAAGGAAGCGACATATTGCTTATATTGTTTCCTTTTCAAATTAGATAGCAAAGAGTCGGAGGTAGTGGCGATGCCTTTATTGTGGAATGTTTTAGCAACTCGGAAGAAAAAATAAAATTTACAAGCACATGTTAGAGGTCCTAATAATACACCCAATCGGACTTCCCATAATTGCCAAGCTTTGATGAATCAACAACAATATCTCGCAAACAATTGTCAATAAGCAATCAAGACAAGCTCGAAGTAACTATCGGGTTCATTTAAATATTTCAATTAACTATGTTTGATTTCCGTTAAGACAAGGTTTACTATGTTTGATTTCTATTAAGACAAGGTTTAGCTTTTCGTGGTTATGACGAATCGAATGATTCGAGCTAATCAAGGAAATTTCAAGACAACTTTAAAAATTTGTTGTGATCATAATAAGGATATCAAAAGAGTTGCAATAGATAAGTGTCCTAAAATTCTTAAATTGACATTTTTAGATATTCAATAAGATACTGTGAGTGCTTGTGCAATTGAAACCACTAATTCCATCATTCAAGACCTTGGGAATGCTTTATTATATATTCTAGTGGATGAAACTCGTGATGTGTCAACTAAAGAACAAATGACAATTGTTATACGTTATGTGAAGAAGGAAGGCAAAGTGGTTGAACATCTTTTAGGTATTAGTGCATGTTGGAAACACTAGTGCTTTGTCATTAAAGGCCGCAATTGAAGCAATATTTTCCAAGCACAACTTAAGCATGTCAAGACTATGCGAATAAGGTTATGATGGGGTAAACAATATGTAAGGTGAGTTTAATGGTCTTAAATCTTTAATCTTAAAGGAGAATGGCGAGTGCTTTTTATGTACATTATTTTGCACATCAACTTCAATTAGCACTTACAATTGTGCAAAAAATCTCATGTCTATTGCCTTATTCTTTAGTTTAGTGTCAAGTGTTATAAATGTTGTTGGGGGATCATGTAAGCACTATGATATGCTTTTAGAGTTTCAAGCTATTAAAGTTTTAAAGGCAATTGAAAATGGTGAACTTGAAAGTAGGTAAGGAAAAAATCAAGAGTCTACTCTTAAACGGGCTAGAGAGACACGATGGGGGTTCACATTATACTACTTTGATTAAGATGTTTTCTTCTATAGTTGATGTCCTTGAATTTGTTACGGTAAATGGAAAGTCCGACCAAAAAGTTAAAGCTTGTATTTTATTAGATTCATTGTAATCTTTTGATATTTCATTTTGTCTTCATTTGATGAAATGCATATTAGAAATCACTCATGAATTATCATAAGCATTGCAAAGAAAAAATCAAGATATTGCGAATGCTATGGTCTTGGTTAAGATAGTTAAGCAACGCTTGTAATTAATGTGAGATAATGGATGAAATTCGTTGTTGGATGAGATATCTTTATTTTGTACTAGCCACAATATAAAGTCCTTAATACGGAAGATACACATATTGCTAGGGGACGGTCTCAACGTAATACCGAGAAAGTGACAAACATGTATCATTACAAGGTTGAGTTATTTTGTTCGGTTATAGATTTGTAACTTCAAAAGCTTAACAATTGGTTTGATGAGGTGAACACAGAGTTGCTTTTATGTTTTGCTTGCTCGAGATCGAATAATTCATTCTCCACTTATGAAAAAGACAAGTCGATTCGTGTTGCTTAGTTTTATCATGTTGATTTTTCCGTTATCCAACTCATTGCTCTCGAAAATCGCTTAAAAACATATATCATTGATATGAAGTCTAGCTGTAAGTTTTCTAACATGAAAGGAATTGGTGATCTTACTGAAAAAATAGTGCGGACAAAAAATGATATTTTGTATCCATTGGTTTACGTACTCATCACTTTAGCCTTTGTTTTACCAACTAGCAATCGTTACAATTGAGAGAGCATTTTTTTGCTATGAAATTTGTAAAGAATCGATTACGTAACAAGATGGGAGATCAATAGATATCTGATTATTTGATTACATATGTTGAAAAGTATGTATTGCATGAGGCTTTTATTTTATTTTATTATTATTTTTTTTTATATATAAGACTATTATATCTTGTCCCCCTTAATTTCAGATTCCAGCTTCGCCATTGGTCTTAATTGAATAATTCCGGTTAGTTTTTTTAACTTTCATGAAAAAAACTATTTGCTACCTAAAAAAGTAATTATTCACTATTATTGTAAAAGAATTTTGTCTAATGTTTTCAATGTAAAAAGTTGTAATTCCCTTCTTCGGTTTTTGGTATTATTGTGCCACAAAAATGTTAACGTATTTATTTGATTTGTATCATCAATAAAACTACTATCTTTTATATATATATATATATTATACTACCATCTTTTAGAGGTTATTCCATATGTTAAAAACATAATATATAATTTAACCAAACATTATTTAAATGTTTTAAATATCACAACACATCCTCCTTGTCAAATTCTATTTTGATCTCACGGTATAGCACTGAGCAACACAGTACAACATAACTATATCAAATACACCCATAATAAATTATGCTAATCTGCATGTCAATATACTCCATCGGGGGCATATCAACAAAAATGCCAAGACTTTTCAATGTTGAATTTGGACAATAGAATTTTGGGTCAGTAGCATAATAATAGTAATAATAATAATAATAAATTTATTTCTCTAGTTAGATAAAAGATAAACCATCTGTACCAAATTTTTTACGAAAAATACATTTTCACATCCTAATTTTTTAGTTTGAATTTTAACTCTCTGCAACCACAAGGTTCTTCTACTTGCTTTTCATCAACCTAATATTATATAATAAAGTATATTGTTTTTCTTTCTTCGTTTCTTTTTTTAAGTTTCGAGTTTTTTCAAAAAACTGCATATTCTTATTTCAAACTTAATATGTTCGCGTTGAAAGCATGGTATAGTGTTAAATCTTTTACCATTGAACTAAATAATGTGATTTCAGAGGCTCATGATTGTTCAACTATTGCAAAAATGTTAGTTTCCAATCCATTGATAAATTTTGGGCTGATCCGTATTTTGTTATGCCCAAAGCCCACTTAGAAACCATACTCATTCAACTTCAAGGCTTGGGTAATCACTTCTATCATTTCAAAATTTCACCAAATTGCAGGAGCACAATCTACCGAGCAGTTTAGCAAAAGCTTGTGGGATTTTTGCCAGCATCATTCCAGACAGATGCCCAATTTTCATCGATCCTCCTTTATTTCATAGTTAAAACATACATTGACAAATTCACAATGCAGTGTTGTTATTCGGTTTTACTTAGTTCCCAAAAAAAAAAAAAAAAAATCTCTAAAATCATTATTAACGTTCACCACTCAATCACGCATGCAACAAGGCAAGACATTCATTCCATGCTTATTGCTGTTCCCAGAGTAAACGATTAATTGTTTTATTTTGTCACATTTGAATTTTCAGGAATTCAAATAACTTTCATCATTTGATCTATGAAGGGTTGGCGATGGACCTCTTCGACACACCATGTCATCAACCGGATGCCTTTCTGAGGCAACGGCAATGAACCTACAATGCCAACAGGAATAATGCTAGACCCTTGAATTGGAACAATGTGAACTGGAGGACCCCATCCATAATCCACCTGATTGAATCCTAATCTGCCCCATTCTGATATAAACAGCGTGGTGTAGTTTAGAGGTGGTGCAAACGGGTCCTCTCCATTTTTCAAATAGTCGCCCTTCATATACTTGGAAAATTCCGTCGGTAAACTACCCTTTGCTTCTTGTATGAGTCTTATCACCTCAACATTTGATGCTTGTGCCAGTGACTCACTTGAAGTTGTGATTGTCACTGGGAAGAAACAGTTACCATAGAATCCTCTAGGCAACGGAGGGTCCAAGAGCTGACGACAATTTGCGAAGAAAACAAGCTTGACCTCAGTATTTTGCTCAAAGTTTACGGCTAGAGTTCGAAATTTCCAAAATGTGGCAGCGAAGGCTTCAAATGTGGAGCAGATTTGACCAGTTGACTCATGAAATTCTGTCTTTACCAGTTGAATTTGATCGAGTGAAATGTCTATGTTAGCATGCTGTAGCCTGTAATGGGGCATTGGTGCTGGTAGTATTGGCAAAGTATTGACCTTTTCTTGTTGGGGTGGAGGCGGCGGAAAAAAGTCTCTACACCACACTGGTGTAATGCTTGGATGCTCGAGACCTCTAGCAATCTCCCCAAGAGCGTTTAGGAATTGTGCAGCACCAAGGCCATCACAGATACTATGGCAGAATATGAGTCCAATCACAAAACCCCCACATTCAAATTGAGTAACCTGAAAAGGAAAATTAAGATAAACAATGGATTCTTCAATCAGCACTCATTTGTCTTTTATATCCAACAAAACGCAAGTGTCTGTGACATTTTTTTTAAGAAGGGATCTGTAACAGATGTTCTTGGTTATTAAGTAATACTTTCCAATCAACCTTAAAAATCAATATAACCTTATGCATCAAAGATTTTTTTTTTACTTCAAGGTCCTATATGGAAAGTAGTCCTCGCTCATTCTCTGAATTCCTGCACACTTATTTCAGGATTTAAACCTGAAACGCTTCCGAATTCAACCAACTCGTTGTTCTTATGGGACTCTAGTGTATCAATGTCGAGTTATAATAGTAACTTTGGTGAGACGAAGTACATAAATATTAGAAATCATACCTGCATTTGCACAAGAGGTTCTGTCCCTTCAGTTTCTGGAACATAATCAGGAAGCAGTTCATCATAGGGGATAGACATGATATTATCGAAGTAACTAACAGCATCGAGAGTACAATTAGCCGATGCCTCAACGAACCATACACCTTGTGCAGAACATTCAATTTGAAGCTGACCCGGACTGGAGTCTTTAAGCCATCCTGCAAGAGGGTAATAGGGAACCAGTGCCTTGGACAAGGCTTCTTTGATCACTTGTGCAGCTGCAGGACCGTGGCGATACACATGTAGCGTTCGAGCATTGCATCTTAGGACAGGCAATTTGTCAATGACCGAGAGATTAAGAATGCCGGATGGTGTCTGCTCAAGTGGCCTAATTAGGCCACGGCTTGATCTGATCACGGAGAAAGCCATGGGCATATTGTCGCTGATAAAGAAGAGCTAACAAGTACCGATGTACCATGTCATAACATAACGAATACCTTTTATATAAGGAGTATTAGATAGATAAAAATATAATCTGCTTGGCTTTAAAGTCTAGTTTCGCTTTGGTGCCAAGAGAAGATAGGTAGCATGCTTGGAAGATATCTCATTGAAATGCTCAGGGAATAAAGAAAGTAGTCCATCCTTCAGCCTTAGTCACTCAAACTAGATATATAGGAGGAGATCAGGTATCATTGAAGGAATCTCCCTTGTCTATTATTTGCTAAACCATTGTATTGAATGGTTCAGAACTTTGCTGTTTAATTAATTTTAGTTTGTATCTCAAAATAAAAAAGAAAACATATCGAAAAAGGATCACCAGCATTTCTTCCTACTGAAAGCAATCCTGATGCACAAAATCAGTGTACCCCTCATGTCTGCTAAATGAAAAATGTTAGAAAAATTGTTCAACAGAAGGAAGTGGCTTTAAAATTGCATAACTTCTAATGGACCGACCCTTTGACAATTCACTGCCAACGTTATCCATCCTGAGAGATGCTAAGAGCATGTGGGTTACCTTCCAAGGAAGGGGCACTTAAAATTTCTGTGTATTGGTTTGGACTATAAACGACTTCTTTCTCATCTTTATAGGATTTTACCCAATTTGGTCACTATACTCTTCTAATTTTTTATTAGAACCTTTTTTTTTTTTTTGATATTGATTGAGTCTTTTTTTCTTTATATTGAATTGGTCCTCTATTTACACATTGTTAGTTCATATATCTATATGACACCTTTTTGTCAAAGTATTAAGTTTGCTTAACAATCTACAATCCAATAATTCTTCTATTTAAAAATTTTTTCTATTACAAAAGGTAAAGGGTTAAAAAAGTAAATTAACTGAGAAAAAAATAATTTAAACAAACCTAAAGTAAATTAATTCTTACGTTTTTTGTTTATTTTTAATTACATAATTTAAAAAATGAAAGCATTGATTTAATAAAAACATGTTACGTAGACGGATGAACTCATGGCATCATGATGCAATAATCCTTACATAACAAAATAAAGACTAAAAAGATTCAATTAATACGAAAAAAAAGTATGAAACCTCAATAAAAAAATTAAAAAGTACTTGGACCAAATCCAGGTAAAAACCTATCTTTATAATGTCATTTGGGAGATTAACAGATAAATTGTCCTCAAATGTCCCAAAAAGAAAACATTAAAAAAAAAAAACCAAAAATATTTGGAAGGTTTATTGTTGAGTTCACCATAGCTACAGATTCAGTGGCAATGTGGACTCAACACTTGGTTTTCTTTGTTTATTGTTGAGTTCACCATAGCTACAAATTCAGTGGCAATGTGGACTCAATACTTGGTTTTCTTTTTGTCATTTTGAAAAATTTTATAATACACAGAGAATAACTAATGGCACGTACGGTAGTTACTTTTGAATCCACTTTGAAGAGAGAGATAGACACATAAAAAAAGAATAAAATTATATCCATACCCATCAAAAGTAATAAGAAGATTTTCACGTCTACTCAAATTTTTTTATTTTCTCTCTTCTATTTCTCTCTCTCTTTTTGTGTGTTTATCTCCTCCTCAAAGTGAGTTCAAAAAGTAACTACTGTACATGTCATTAATTACTCCTTGTGTATATAAAATTTCTCATGTGATTTTTGCCGCTATCTAAAGGCAATTATAAACAAATTGTACAAAATCTTATACTTTGATCCCTAATATTTTTAAAATTATTTATTTTGATCTATAAGTTTATTTGTAACACACTTTGTTACTTAAATATAAAGATGAGAGATAAAAAAAAAAAAAGAATAAAGGAGAGAGAGAGAGAAAGAACATCATTAGACTTATTTCGACTACTTTAGTGGGTGATATTTTATTCAATTTATTTATCTTAAATAGTTGAGTTTATTTATTGTGATTTAAAGTATAAATTAATTGGAGAAAATTAATCAAGATCTTGAATTATTATATGTTTTTTATATGTATTATAATCAATTTTAATGTTACAAACATATTTCTTGACCTCATTTCAGTGTTTTAAAGCATTGTGGAGTAAAAATAATGCCCGGGTTCAGTTTTGGAGCCGAAAAAACCCGAAAAACTCTTCTGTTTTTTTTTTTTTTTTAAAAATCAATTTTCCAAGGAACTCAATTTCGTCTAAAGTTGCAGCAGAGATGATGTGTCGTATGCAGTTTTTTTACCTTCTTCTTTTATATGTTGCCAGCCAGGCCTGCTTTTGTAGGCCCATGCTCGCTTCTGCAACCCTTAGGCCAGCTAGTAGGCCTGCAGAAGCACCAAGCCATGGCTGAGGAAATTTTTATTATTGAATTTTTTGCTAAATTTATGAAAAATAATTCCTTTTTTTTATGCAATTTGCTGATTAAAAAAATATATTTATTTCCATTTTTCATTTCTGATTTTTTTTTTTGCTTTCAAAATTTAAGATTATTTTTTTCAATTGGTCATTTTTTATGGAACCATCCAAATTCGTTGGTCATACGAACAAATTAAAATAAAATATTGTCAAATGGCTATATTATACTATATATCTCCCAAAGAATACAGGTATTTTTGAGGTTGTAATATGCTTTTCCTATGAGTACTTTATATTAGTTGTTGTTGCTATTGGCAAGTTTCGAAATCCACCCACCCGACAAGAAAGTCAATTTTAACTATTCTTATTAATTAATTAATTAATTAATTCAGAATATTATAACTTGTTTGTCTGTCAAGTTTTGGGACCCAATTAAGTATTGGATAAAGTATACACATGTGGCATAGTCATCCCCTAAACACTCAGTCATTGATCGACTGTTCAGATCAAAATGGCAATACTTTTTTCCTCTAATCAAAAGACATTGGTAGAAAAAGGCAGATCATAAAGTTGAAATTAAGAAATAGTGGAAAATGATTGACTTTTCTTTTCTTGTTTAATTGAGAAAGCATAGATGCTGCCATTAATGAGCAGTGTTGATGATCTCATAATCACAGTATTGATAAGGAAAAGCACTTATTTTACTTCCACCCCAAGCGGCCAAGTGGTCTCCTTCGTCACTATAAAATGAATATTGAAGCGCTTAAGATTGATCCAATCTCAACTTTCAGGAAAAAATAAAAAAAGACCACGTGCATTAGTGCTAGTAATAAATTTAAGCTCGGAATGAATAATTGGTTTACCATTTTTGCTCTTGTCAAAATTTCGGAAAACTTTTTGGGTAGCCAAATTTCTAGAAAAGAGTAGAAGGCGTATTAAAGTGACACAGGATAAGCCACAGTCGTCGAGCCGCACTAATTCTGTGGCTGCAAAATCACAAGAAAAAGGACAGCAATTATTGGCAAGAGATTTTGTAGTAACCCATCCAATCCTTTCCGCATACAAACTGTGAGCGATGTACTTTTTTCGAAATTCCAGTCCCTTTTTTCTGTTCCTCCGTACCCTCTAGTCCCTCTATCTGTCCATTTCTACGATGCTAAAAAATGATCGACCCCAATGCAATCCTCCTAATCTTGTTTAACTAAAAAAAAAAAAAAAACCCATTTTTTATTTATCTATGTCCTCTTCGATTCACCTCCTTTAAACAAGTTTTATGGGAGATGGGATCTGCTTTCTATCGTGTTGAAGCAGTCTAGGTAAAATGACCGCGTCAATTTCAGAACACGTGTAAAATGGGGAGGCATGATTTAAATAGTTTCGGCATCAGCAGATGCAGATCTCCCTCCAATAGGGGGTTTCCCTTCAGATTGGACATGTAATGTGGCATGCGCCGGCTTATTAAGCAGTCAAAGTAAAACCTGACGCAGAACCACGCATGGCCAGCCATGAGAACCAGCATCCAGAACAAAAATGACGTCTTTTAACTCCAACTATCCGTAAGTGGGGTCATTGCCACCAGATAATAGACTGCTCTCCAGTCGCCATAGATTTGATAACCTTTCTAAAAGATCATACGTTAGCATCTCCCAAAGACAAAATCAAACCCATTAGACGTCTCCAACTCATTTGCCCACCACTAACTCTCTCACACCTCTTCTTTGTTATCTATTCTTCAGATGGAAAATGAGCCTTTTCTCGGCAACCATACAAGTCACAAACCCCAACCCATTGCCACGCTCACTCAGTCTCTTTCAACCCCAATACTATTCCCTGAAATCCAAGATGTCCCACAAACACCATCAACTTCTCCTTCTCCTCCACTCGGATCTCCTAATACCCGTTTCAAGAAACCCGGTGCTCTTCACAGGTGCAAAACAGCTCCTGCTATGGTTGTCATGCGAGAGTTTCAACCAACAGAGCCCCAAATTCCTAAACCACAATCTGAGTCTAACTCCGTAATCAGGCAAGCCATTTTCTTGCTATCTTTGTATCTAATTCTTGGAGTTATTATCTACTCTTTCAACACTGATCACTTCTCGGGTATTGAGACTCACCCGGTTGTTGATGCCGTGTATTTCTGTATAGTCACTATGTGTACTATTGGTTATGGTGATATAGCTCCTTTAACACCAGGGACAAAGGCCTTTGCTTGTGTGTTTGTGTTAGTTGGGTTTGGATTTATAGACATCTTGCTCAGTGGGCTTGTTAATTACGTTCTTGATTTACAAGAAAGCATGATTTTGACTACTATTGAAATGGATAAAAATCGAAATCGCGAAGGGTTTTCAGCTACTAATTATATTTTTGATGTCAAAAAGGGGAGGATGAGGATAAGATTGAAGGTTGGATTGGCACTTGGTGTCGTGGTTCTGTGTGTTGGAATTGGGACCTTGGTTTTGTACATTTTGGAGGGTCTTGATTGGATTGATTCAGTTTATTTGGCGGTTATGTCAGTTACGACCGTCGGGTATGGTGATAGGGCGTTTAAGACCTTGCCAGGGAGGTTGTTTGCTGCAATTTGGCTTTTGGTTTCGACATTGGCGGTAGCAAGGGCATTTCTTTATTTGGCAGAGGCAAGGATTGATAAGAGGCACAGGAGGATTACTAATTGGGTGTTGCATAGAGATATTACTGTGGAGGATTTGCTTGCTGCGGATATCAACAATAATGGTTTCATTAGGTGCGGTTCTATTTTGCTCTTTTCCTGGTTTTATCTGTCTATTTGCTAACTTTTATTTCTGCGTATGTTTCTCTCTTCTGTTTGGGAATTTTTTTTTGAAATTGATGATCTGATAATTTAGGGAAGAAATCCTCAAAACATTAACTAGGTTATGCATTGAATTGGGGTCTATGCTAGTTGGGAAAAAAACTGTTGAAATGTATATAGCCGTGTATATAGAAATAGGTGAACAGTACCAAGTGTATGGGCATGTAGATGGAGACAGCTTCTTACAAGAGAAAAGGTACTCTGCTTCTATTTCTAAATTATATATGATAAGTTCAGTAGGCTATTCATTGAGTTGGGGCCAACTTGTGATAAGATGGATATCAAAAGTTAACTGAACTCTCCTTTCTATTTCTGTGCTAACTATCTTCGGTTCTTACTCTCAGATTGTTGAGTAGGTTGAGCATTTGCATTGATGCTAATTTTAGATAAGAAAATTCTAGTCAAAATGCTGATATATTGCATTCCGAGACATTGAAATGCAGATTTGAAGTAATTAAAATCACCTCTTGTTTCTGAGCTAAGTTAGCCTACTTCTTGCCTTCTAATTGTTAGTGATTGGCTCTTGAATTGAGGACACTGTGATAGGCTGTTATTTGATGACATAATTGCTATATTGGATTTGGAGACCTTTAAGTAGAGACACGGTGGTTTAGCATACAGCTTTTCACCTTCTAAAACCTTGCTTATTTGCATTAAAATCTTTTTCAATTTCAGCTAAAGATGAAGTGTTGCCAGACAATAATCCATCATAGATTGCATAATCTCAGGAGACATGATGGTCTATGTTGCCAATAGGTTTCCTACTGAACTGGAAAACATCACATGAGAGAAGATTGTCTGATATTTATGACTCCGTTAGTATTTAAAGATTATGGATTCAAACACGTGAGGTCACTCATTTAGTCATTTACTAGTTTCATCTCAAATGATAAGTACATTCAAAGTAGTATAGCTGCTCCAAGCCATCATATTATGTGGAACATGCGTAGATTGAGGTACTGATAGAAATTAACTCCTCTAAAACTTACTGATATTCTTGTTCTTTTGTTGCTCTTTACCACTATCCTTATAGGCGATGCCACTGATCTTTTTTCAGGGATTTACATAGGATTCTCTTTATTTAAATCAGAATATGTGATCTAACACGCCAGATAGGGCCTCAATTCATTCATTCATTTATTTATTTTTATTTTCCACAGTAAATGAGATCATGCAATCTATCAATCTAGATGGAGCCTTAATTCATTTATTCTTCAACCTTCTTTTACAGTAAATCAGAATATGTAATTTATAAGCTGAAAGAGATGAGAAAGATCAGCGAGAAAGATGTCTTACAGATTTGCAATCAATTCAGCAAGCTTGATCCCAACAACTTGGGAAAGATAACCTTGCCTGATCTCTTGGAGAATCGCTTGTGAAAATTCCATAGACCAGTCTGTATTTTTTCTTTTTTTCACAGAGGACTTTGGATTTGCCTCTTTATTCTGGGAAATACAGGGAGGCAGAAATCTGGGCATCAAAGTTCACTGGTATACGTGTACATCTTATCTTCGTTAGTTCTAGCAAAAGATGCATTGGTTGCATGAAGCTGTACAGTCATGGAAAGGGTAGTTATCTTAGTACTTAGATTCTGAAACCTGTAATGATCTCAAAATTGAACAGAGGAGGGACAAGGCAATTAATGGCCACTTCCTATTCAATTTCTGCTTGATAGGTCTTGTCCCATTGGGTTTTTGTTTTTTTTCCCCGACAAATAAAACTTCAATCATGAAAATGTGAAATCATTTTGAATGTATGAAGCATGAACCTACCTTGAAATGAAAACATAACTGTAATGAGAAGATGTCTCAAACTGTCAGGGAGAAATATCACCCCCCCCCCCCCCCTCTATTTTCCCCTCTGATATAACTGAAGAAATATTAATCCGTAGCTATTTGTCTTCTACATACAGTCTTTAAGGAGTATTATTGTTGTTGTTATTATTATTATTATTATTATTTGGCTAAAAAATATAAAGGTCAGTCAGCTAGTTCATAATTTCTGGTAGTTAACGTTATATCTACATTACATCACTTTTTTTTATTTGAAAATTCCTCCACTGTATTTATGCTAGAACAGACATTTAGGGTCTTTTTGAGTACAGTTAGCATGTATAGAAATGTAGATATACCGCTAAATCTAAGCTGCTCTAAATAAAATTTGAACTTTCAATATCATAGATTACTAATTCATAAGGAGTTCACTTCCCCTGTACCAATAATATTAAGAAGTATATAAAACCTGAGAGGGAATGATTTTATTAGTGTTGTTATTGTTATTATCCTTGGAAGAGAAAAACAGGACTTGCTTGGCTGTTCCTGTTAGCTTTCATGGCTGAATGAACAATTGAGAGAAAAGTAAAAACTAGAGATGAAGTTTTGGTAAAGTTGTTGTTTTATGCAACTGACTTGAGTATATTACATGCAATTGATAGTTTTTATACTAAGGTAGCTCAAGGTAAAAACATAATTAGTCTTAACTATCTCTATCTAACTAACTTGCCACTATAATCTGTGGCATTTTATACATACATGGCATCTATAATTTGTTACTCTCTCAAGATGAGTACGGATGTTATTCGTACTTGTCTTGCTAATCAAACCATAAAAAATTTTAGGTTGTACAACCTTGGTAAAAATATTAGACATCTATTAATCAATGTGCAGAAAATGAGGTTGAATAACACTAGAAAGAACCTTCTCACAAATAAAATGACAATCAACTTCAATGTATTTGGTTCTTTCATGATATATTGGATTTTTTACACGGATACAAAGTAGATTGATTATCACAAAATAGCAAAACTAGCATAGGGTCGGTGATGTCCAAATCTTACAACAAGAACAAAAGCCACATGACTTCACATGTAACAGTTTTCATAGCCTTATATTCTTCTTCCGTGATACCGCAAGCCATTAAATTCTATTTCTTAGATTTCTAGCTAATCAAAGAATTTCCCAAAAATATACGGAATCCGAAACCGACTTTTTGATTTCGGGACAACCAACCTAATTATTATTCGAGAAGGACTTTAATTGCGAGTTAAGCCTTGATTGAAAACAACAACCCTTGTCCTAAAGCACTTTTTAGATATCCGAGAACTCTATGAGTAGCTTGTAAATAGATTAAAGATGGTTTGTCTATAAATTGAGCAAGCACGTAAACTACATAACGGATGTTAGTTCTACCGAAAGTTAAGTACACAAGCTTTCCTACTAACTCGTCTATATTTAGTAGAATCATTGAGAATATCTTTTGAAGTATGTTATAGTTTTTGTTTAGGATGCATGGGAGTAAACACTCGGTTTAGAGTCGGAGAATCCATATTCATCCAACAACTCCAAAACATAATTTCTCCGACAAATAGCAATACTTTGCTATGGCGTGGCAACTTCAATGCCTAAGAAATAATTAAGTAGACCAAGATCCTTAAGTTTGAATTTCTTGTCAAGAAATTATTTAAGATCGACTATATCATTATTAGAACTATCGGTTATCACAATGTCATCCATATAAACCAACAAAGCAAGGAAATTGTGTGAAGCAAGTGTGTATTGTAAATAATGAATAATCTGCATTGGATTATCGAAAGCCATATTCAACCAAAGTTGTAGTAAACTTAGCATTTCATTGTTTAGAAACTTGTTTCAAACCATACAAGAATTTATATAGCTTGCAAATCGGTTTTGTAAGTTGTCCAGTTTATATAAACTATCTCTATGCTCCCCTTAAGCTTATAACCTGGGGAAATTCATAAACATTGTCTCATCTAGATCACCATGCAAAAAAGCATTATTAATATTCAATTAATAGAGAAACCAATCTTTAATAGCGATCAAGGCTAGAAATAATCGGATTGTGGTATGCTTGCCAAAAGGACTAAATGTCTTTTTGAAGTTAAACCCCTCAATTTGACTATATCCTTTAGCCACAAGCTTGACCTTATATCTTTCAATAGTACTATCAACCTTGAGTTTAACCATGTAAATCCATTTACAACCCATTGTATGATGATTCGCAAGTCAAAGAATCACAAACCAAGTGTTGTTTTCTTCAAGAGCGACAATTCAACACTCATAGCTTCTTTTCAATGGTCAAATTTCATAGCTCTGTGAATAAGTGTTAGGTTCAAAGGTATGTGTTAAAGAGATAGTAAATGCAGCTTGTGAAGGAGAAAGTTGAGAAGTAGATAAGTAGTGGTGAAGAGGATAGAGAGTGGAATATGTGAGATTACTATGAGAAATGGGTTTGAAAAAGAGAGAGTGTGTGAGTATAAACTTCTAAATATGCAATAAGCTTAATGGATAGAGTAGACTTTCTAAAAGGAAATGGAGATGAAACAATGACTATAGGAGAAGATTCATAAAATGAAAAAGCAACAATGGCTAAAGGAGAAGACTCATGAGAAAAAACAAGAGGAGAATTAGAAGAAAAAATTCAAAAATAAAAGTTTATGGAAAGATTCGATAGGAATATTAGTGAGTGTAAGAGGAACATCTCTAGGACGGATAGAATAAGAAGATTGAATATTTGTAAAATCAAACAAATTAAATGTGAAAGAAGAAGGAAACACTCAAAATAAGTTATGAGGAAAAGAAGAAGAATAGAAAATAAAAAGAGAGAAGGAAAACATAGGTTTATGAAAAATGACATCTCTCGAACCAAAATCTTATGACAAAGAAGATCAAAAACTCTATAACCTTTAATTGTAGGAGGATAACTAAGAAAGACACAAGGAGTGGCTCTAGGATGACATTTCTTACGATGATGAATAGAAGTAGAAACAAAATGATCCAAAAACCTTTAAATGATCATAACAGGTGGTTTGTTGAACAAAATTTCATAAGCTCGTTGAATTGTCTCACAAATGAGATGATATTTCCCGATCAAATATGCAGCAGTAAGATTAGCATCCTTTCAAAATTTTAGAGGTAAAGATGGTTGAAAAAGAAGTGCTCTAGCTACATTCAACAAATATTTGAACAACAACATTTTGCTAAAGAGTACCTACATAAAAAAAGTTGATGAATAATACATTTAGAATCATAGAAAAAGAGAAGATGAAATTCAAGATCATTATTAGACCTAATTATTTTGATTGGAGATTGAAACCGAGTAAAGATCATTTAGCGGAATGAGGGTATGATGGAAAGGACATCCGAGTTATGTCTAATTAAAAACACTCATATAACTTTAGTGAAATTATCAACCACTCGTTAGAAAATAATGAAAACCACCAAGAAAAACAATAGAATATGATCCCCAAATGTCCATGTGGACCTACTTAAAAGGAAAATTTGTATTTTTATTATGAATGAGAAATGATAATCTCTTTTGTTTTGCTAAAGTGACAAACAAAACAAGGAGTATTGCTATTACACTAAATGATAGAATCATTCCGACTAAGTAGTTGTAGTCTATCATGTCAAACATTATCCAATCTATAATGTCATAGATCGAAACAAAATGATTCTTAAATCTATAATTGACCATATGAGCAATATAGGAGTGTTTAACGAAGGAAAAAAGACATGCTTAAATAGATTGAAACAAGAACAATCCTCGCTTGTAGATTAATAATTCCAATCATTATCCATGAAAAGTTGTCTTGAATTATACAAGAATCACAATAAAATATCGGTTGTAGGGAGAATGGGTTGTGATTTTACCGACTAAGATAAGATTGAACTAAAAGAAGAAACACATAGAACATTATTCCACATGAATGATGATGATATAGACATACTTGACCAATATGAGTGATAACGATCTTAGTGCCATTTGGCATTTGGATCGTCACACCACAAATAGTTTTATAGAACTTGAAATATTTAAGAGAACATGATATGTGATCGAGTAGCACCCGTGTCAATGATCCAAGTACAAGGGCTAAATGAAGAAATAAAGCCTCGTGAATGACAACAAGTAGACATAACTCGAATACTATCTCGTAAAAATGAAGGAAGGTCTGTGAGTGAGATACAATAGAATGACTGGTTTGATTAGAGGTTTGTGAGGATAAAGCCCGTGAATCTTGAACATTTTAAAAGGACACAAGTTTGAAAACTCACTTTTGAGTAAAAACAATACTAAAAGATGCGGATTGACTAGAGTCGAAGAGAGTTCGAGAAAATGTAAGACCGGGTTTTTCTTGTTCGGAGGTAACTTTATTGACATAACATGATGAACTTGTATGACCATGACTAGAACTAGAAATGGGAACAACATGCTTTGGATAAACAACATTACTACCGAAACCTCTATTTCTAGTGAACTTAAAATCCGTAAAAAAACCAATAAGCCTATAACACCTCTCTTACTATGACCAAGTTTCCCATATTAAGAACAAGTAACATCCATTCTTCTTTTGTTATTAGAGAAAGCGAGTTATAGTAGAACATTCATTAAAAGGCCGATTCACAATCTAAATAGATCTTTGAGATTCTTATGTCATAACTATAGGCTTTATCTCGATTAAGAAATGGTTTCATAACTAGAACATGTGACTTCGATGAAGCAAATGATTCATTTAATCCATTGAGAAACTTACACACATAATCCTTCTTATGAATTTTCATAAATTTTTTA